TTTTTAGAACACGATGAAGGAAAGTACGAGACACCTTATGCCAGATGATGTACAGCTGGGTGCCCATCACAGCATTGCGTTCACTGAAAGTTTCTTCATCCTTGTTGAAAAAGACTGCTAACAAGTCCCTCAAAAAATCACCTCTTGTTTTGTCCCCTTGGCGTTGATCCGCCCCGGATCGTGAATCCCATAGAAATTTATGGAAGCTCTCACTTCTCATACACCCACGCATAATTGTTGGCGTTCCACTCTGTCAAACCTTCTCCAAACCAAAGGCTGATCTCACGCTGAGCTGATTCCACGGAATCTGAACCGTGACAAATGTTGCGGCCGACCTGTGTTTTCGATCCGCATGTTGCACGTTTATGGAGAGTTACTTTTTGACAAAAATTGAATCTGTTATTAATTACGAACTTACATCTAAGGCGAAGTCCCCACGAATCGTGCCAGGTGCACTATCAGCCGGTTTGGTGGCACCTAACATCTACGAGAAGAAGAGGTGAAATGAAAGATTAGCGCATTTGTACCCTAAAGCTTGGTTTTCAAGAAGTGACTCGAGTTTGGAAGAGATAGATTCAGGAAATCGAAGGCATCATTACCTTGCGTCCCTCCTTAACAGCATTTAGACCCTCCCACACCATAGCAATAACAGGGCCAGAGCTCATGTACGCCACGAGGCCACCGAAAAAAGGTTTATCCGCGAGATCCTGATAGTGCTCGTTCAGGAGGTCCTTTGAGGCGTTCATTGACTTCAGGGCAACGAGTTTGAACCCTTTGCGCTCGAAACGTCCAATAATTTCCCCAACAAGACCGCGTTGGACACCATCAGGCTTGATCATTATATCTGAAGTCATTTAGGGACGTGTGACGCCACGTAAGACAACGGTCTGCACATCTCGTAAGTAGCGAGACATCTTCACACCGAGTGAAAAATATGACTTATAGTGCCGTAGGGCAATACAAACTTGTAAGGACTTCCATCAATCCATTGAATAGTGAACATAATACTTTCCATTTCTTCAAAAAACAAAGCACAAAAATGCTGTACTCCACTTTCTGCCACTTACAGGTGCGCTCAGTACTCATCTTGACGGTGACAGCAATATGAAGGTCGAGGACTTGCGATTCCTGTAAATTTTGCACATCGTAGGATTTGAATGAGGGCGCTACACTGGTGAGAAAGCCTCACTTTTGAGACGACACAGACAAAGGACTTCGACAGAGAGACACTCCCTACCGTCGTTCCGCCGCTCGCTCGCGTGTGCGGCTGCGAGCGAGTTTCCCCGTCGCCGAGACCCGGGCCCTTTTGAACTGGCAGAGCCCTGCCCTCTCACGCAAAAATGCCTTCACCTGTAGGGGTCTTAGGCTTGAGCACAAGGACGTGCACGGAAGCCCTCGAGTGCCTATTCAGATCCTCCATGCAACCATCTGCGTACTGCTTTGGTTGTGACGGCCGTTCCAGTCGGAAGCTTGATTTGTGAGGACCGATTTGTGGGCTCTTTGAAAAAGACACCTTCCGATGGACGCCAAACGGGACAAGGGCAAGTGCAGTACAGCCATGTTCTTGCCAGCATGGTGCAGTCAGGACTATCACTGTATTTCGGAAGTTCCGAGTGTCGGACGTTCAGCGCACTCTCGACATCACATTGACAAATTACTCCATAATGCTCATCTTTGTCATCGCACATAGAGACAGAGAACACAAAGCAGGGCATTTGGCAAACTTTGTCATCATGTCTGACGTTAATGCGCACATCATTCAGCCTCTGAAGAAATTTGCCAAAGACTCGAGTCACTTGGTGAAGAAGTGCACGAAGCCGGACCGGAAAGGTGCGTATGACTTCAGTGGCTGCCCCTTTTTTTCGCGACTCAATCTTTTTTCTCTTATTCCTATGCTTCAGAGTTTGCCCGGATAGCTTACGCCACTAGCGTTGGATTTCTGATCATGGGCTTCATCGGCTTCTTCGTCAAGCTTATCCACATCCCGATCAACAACATCCTTCTGGGCGGCATCTAGAAAAACCGGCCCGCCGCTCCTCATACATGCGTAGGAAATCCGATGGGTGAGAAAAAGACATGCCATTGTCTCCAAGGGCCATACATGCGCCTTGGAAAGTGTGCGGTGAGAATCGTTTGAACAAACGAGAAGTAAACGGGTATGAGGCTCGGAGAATGGAATGAAGTAACAAATATACCAGTTAAGCTTTGAAAGTTTTGATCGCAAACAAACTGTTGCTTGGGGAACGCAGACTGGTGCCCTTCTTTCAGAGCATACGGAAGGGACGCGCAGACAACCCAGAAGTTTTGCTCGTGACTCGGTATTCTAACGTTTGTGCTTTTTAGATAGCTTTCTCGAAGCCTCCTGGACACACCATGCTCTACTTTTGTATCGACAGTGTGCAGAAGAAAATCCTGTGTACAATCCATTCAGTCCTCACGCTCACATTTTGGCCGAGGATGATACTGTCTCTCCTCCTCCCGACAACTGTCTTTTTTTTCTTTTTCTCGCATCTACTTGGTCCTCAAAAGCCTTACGAGCTGCAGCGCGCTGCGCCTCTCGAGCCTTGCGTCTTTTTAGCTCCTTCTCCTCGTTGAGGACAATACGCTTTTGATACTCGTGCCAGCTCCGGTATGTGGCAATGACCGTGAGGGACCCCATACCCAGCAAGATACCGCGATGAATCATATCCCAGCTCTTCATATTTCACCTGAATTGTGTGTAAAATATCTCAGTGGACATGCGTACCACGTACAGTTTAGTATGCGCTGGTAGGAACATGTGATTATGCTGAGCATACCGGGTAAAAGTCTCTTCTTAGATTTTTAATTCAATAACCAGACGCAAAAAGAGACCAGCTGTACGCAGTGACGCTTACTTATTGCCCTAGCTATCGAGGGCGGACTGACACAACAAGTAGGAGATATACGATAGTGAAGCCGACTCAGATGATTACGATAGCGCATCTAGACTCGAAGACCAAAAGGCTAAATATAGTTGCTTCTTACTTACCTTACTACTAAATGATCTCTCGTCAGATCCCTATGAAAATACGTGTGAAGCAGTCAATTTCTGGCCGTGGCGTGACTTTGTGGCGTGACTTGATGGGAGGCGTGACGGCGGGAGTCGCTCGCCCTCACGAGCTCTCGCTCGCTTGCGTCTCCTACCTTAAATAGCCAGTGCGCCGCTCTCCCCCGAACTAACCACAACACTTATTCAGGGGCAACAGAGAACATCCTGAGCATTCATGCAGGTGCAAACAGTGTCGCCAAGTCCAACCTCGATTGTAATGGACTACAGAAAGCAGCTAAATTCGATCGAAGCGCGCCTGATGAATGCGCCGTTGCATTCGGGGAGAAGTGAGGACAAGTCCGAATTGCCCGCATCCCAAGTAGGCCATCATCATGAGTCCTCACTGCCGATAACGCTGCCTGTGTCGCAGACTAAGTCCTCAAGGATGGAAGCGGCAGTTGGAGCGAGCGAAGACATGGAGTGCGGCATCACACACGAGGAGCAAGTGGTCGATGAGTTGCTACAAGCTCGCGAGACATTCATGTGCCAACGTTGGGGGGACTTGCTTGGACAATTGAAAGCTGGCAAATCTTTGGGAGTGACTGTAAGACAAGAGGAAGAGCGCTCGTATCACTTTGAAAACAAGTTCCAGCAGGAGGAGCATCGCCTGCGAGGGCTTTTCGAGACAGCGGAAGGCGATATTCACGGCTTAGTGCGGGCAACCGTTGAAAAGCACCATGAACAGGCGCGTATTCGAAAAGAAATCCTTGAGAGGAAGAAGAGTGTGGAATGTTTGTTAAACACATTGGAAAATATTCAAGGAAGTTTGTCATTGGGGGAGGAAGCTTTGAGTAAGCTGGACGAGGATGAAAAAGCGGAGGAGCAAGACGGGCAAAATCAAATACACTTTATGGAGGCAGCGATTGAAGACATCCGAGCCAAGAATTGTGATGCGCGCAAGAGGGTGAGTGAGCTGCAAAGCACTTTAGAGGTGCTTCAGACAGCTGCCTTGGCCGACGGCGAAGAGGCGAGCTCGAGAGCGGATCCTGCACTAGTTGAGCAGGAGGCCGAGGTCCTCGCGGAGGCAGGGAGACTTCGAGGACATGCCGAGGACTTGCAAAAGTTGTTGGAAACTTTGCAAGGACTGTACAATGTTGCCGTCACGGTGGTGGACGGGTCCGATGCAAAGCCGGGCGAGATGGTGCTTCGAGTCGGGTATCCCTCCCAGCACGCTTTAGAGGTGACCCTCTCTACTTCAGACGAAACAGTCCAGCTCTTGCATGCCCGTCTTGAGTTACCCATTGTACAACAGCGACGCAGATCGCTTGCTACAAGTGAAATGCAGCGGCTGATGATGAACCAAGTGGACAATCTCGTTACTGTCGCGCAGGGCCTGACCCCTCCACACGATCTTCTATTTTTGGCGCGCGAAGTTGGATGGATGGTAGCATCGCGCGGAGTGGCTAAGCAGGAGATCCGTGAGCTGATGAAAAGATACATTGTGAAGCACAACGAGGCGATGGACGAACTCACAGTAACATATGCTGAAGGCGTCGTCGCCTCCTTTCTATTGTTGGAGGGCTATCCGCAGATGCCCGGGAGCGTTCGAATCGTTGGACTGGTGGGTGTTGGCGGCTGGAAGGATACAGACTTGGCCATTACGAGTCGGAGTCTGAACGGCTTGGGCCTGGAGTCGCTCACGGCCCTTGTCGACGCACTCCACGAGCGCATCGCAGAATCAGATAGTAAGGCTTGAGAGATGCTCAAGATGGATGTAAGTTTGTCATGTTTCTGTACTGTATTGAACTGCATTTGAGCCTCTATACAAAGTACAATACAGAAGGCAAGAAGATCTGGACGGGACTGGCGAAAAAGTAAATGCAGGAGAAGTAAAGGTGACGTGAGTGAGATTTGAGTGGAATGGCATCTGCCTGGCAGGTCGCGAACTGAAGAATGCAAAGAAACGTGGACGAGACAAGACAAGACAATAGGCATGCAGTGGCTTTCTTCTTATCAATTGTTGCTCGCTCGGGCTCCTCCGACAGGATCCGCCGTGCTCACGAGATCGGGCAGATTTGTATCTATTCGTAATATCACACTGTAATATGTTGTTTCGCTGCTTTAATCTCCTCTTCCCATACTGACTTCTCGTTTAGCAAGACAAACACACGCATAATTCATCTAATCTGTCCTCTGATTTTCAAAAGAGTATCCTTTTCATCTTCGTATCAAGCACTTTTGTTATATTTCTATTCAATCAATACCCAAGGATGAGGCTCAGCACGTCATTTTTTGGCGTCGGGACGGACGATGTAGAATTCGTTGGTTGCCGTTGCCCGTTCGTCCCCTTCGACTTCTTTCTCTTGCCGACACCGCCGCCACTACCCACATGGCTCCAATCATCCTCGACGGCAGGTTTGTGCAACATGGCGCGCGCCATCTCCATGCCCTGGGTCTCCAGCGCGGTCAAACATTGCTGGAACAGGTATTGTATCTCTCCAATGCGGAAAGCGCATCGCGAGACATTGACCGCTCGGTCCAGCGGGTCTAAGATTGTAAGGGGGTCCGCAACGACAGGCAAGCCTCGAGCTGCGCAGAATTCACCGAGCGGAAAGGTCAGACCATACCCTTGATCTACCGCAATGCCCTCCGCTTGAGGATTGAATATCCGTCCGTAATACTCTAGGAAGTATGTCAGCAAGAAGCCTGCTGGTAAGCGGTGAACATGTGAGTTACTTTCTTGTTTCCCAGCTTCATGCCCCTCAGCCATGCGGCCTTCTGACGTCTGCGCCGCGGCAAACTGGGACCAGAGCCGATAAGAGACCTCAGCAGGGCTGCCGTAGCCACCTGTCACCAGCGGAGGGGGAGGTCTGACTTCGAAGTACTCCTCTCCCTTGTGAACTTCATCCTCCAGACTGTGCAGAGCGCCGCGCACTGCTTTCCCGTAGTCCATGGTACCGTTTGCATCCGTGTTGCTTGATGCATCATCTCGCTGACTTCTTTTGCCCTCTTTCGATGAAATGCTATGATCCACGCAATTTTCACCACGAATACTGGTCCTTGTCCCACAATTTTTCTCATCACTGCTTGAATGGGACTGAAGGACACGGCGTTTAATGCAATCCACAGATCGTGCAATAGCCATAACATTTGCTTGCGCTTCTTCGGGCCTTTCAAACTGTTGGAGAACAGTGATGACCATAAGCATGAGTGCATAAGAAGAAATGCCGCCGCACCAAGGTTGATTCAGGCCCCGCTGCATCAGAAGCGCCTTCAGCACCAGCGTCAGAGGCACAGCATGCGCGTAGGGCTTTCCTGGACCCACGAGATCGCGGATGAGCAAGGAGCTGGCAATGCCGCCGTGCTGCGGGCCTTCCAAAGAGATGTCCACTGGCACCAATGTTGTCGCGGACCCAGGCGCAAGACTTTCTTGTCCCGTGGAAAGCGCAGCGGGGTCGGCAAGGATTTTGATGACAGGTACAAATGCGGTGTCGATCGTTTTGATAGAGCGGATCCAGGCTCGCCCTTCCAATGCTCCTGCAAGCTGGTATAAGAGTCTTGCTGACTCGCTGTGTCCGGGAGGCAGCGAGCGAGGAGGCGTTGTCGAGCTCGTTATTGCGCTTGTAGTCGAAGAGACAGCAGGACCGAACCGTGGAGAGGAAGCCGGTGAGGAGAGGGCGGGAGAGCGAGATCCCGTGGCGGTCCTGGCGGTAGTGTTGTTACTACTTGTATCGCTCAGCTGGCTGTGGCTATGGTTGTCTGTCTCCTCCTCCTCCTCTCCAGCAACAGATGATGCGGCGCTAGACTGTCCAGTGGTACAACCAGTACTGTTACTGGTGGTGGTGCTGGTCGTGCTGCTGCTACTAATGCAGCTTTTGCCACTAGTGGTCGTGCTTATACTACAAGTACCCTCGGGAGACGACGAACTCGTGGTTCCCCCTTGCTTTCGGTCTTGCTGCCGACTCATTTGTGGAGTCTTAATACTAAGCGCTGATAGGGCGGGCGATGCAGTACCTGCTGGCTTCAAACCGCAAACAACTAGGTCCAAATCGCTTGAGATCAAATCAAGACCAGTAAAGCAGGACCCGTATAATTCTACTCTTGACCCAGCCCACAAACTCTGAATAATTGAACGCACTTCTTCAAGAATCCTCTCCCGCGCAGCCCGATGTTCCATCATTTTCGTTTCGCGATTTTTCATAAAATCAGCAATATTTTCAGAAAGCTGTGAACGCATAGCATCGATTCCCTGATTGTAAGCAAGCCGCGCTTGCTCTGCTTCCATATCCAGGGCGTAAAGCTCATGAGGCTGCTGAAGCACGAGAGGGGGAGGAACAACCGACTCAAAATCCCCCGTCGTGGTACCGTAGCCGTCACTTCTCTCAGTTTTACTCTTGAGCCTGCGTTGTGCCTGCAAGTGCTGACGGTGATGTCGATACTGGTTATGAAGGCCTTGGACTGGAGTCTGCTGAAGTAAAGGGTACTGAAAAACCACTCGGTGGTCGTTACACTCCTTCCAGCCATCTGAGCCATCATTGAGCTGCCCTCGCTGCCCACCGTTGGCCCCCATCGATGTCGCACATAACTCAACCCCACCCCGGCGTGCTCGCGGATACTCTTGATAGTACTGCGGGTTGTGGTGGTACTGGTGGATGCGTGGGTAGAGAGGGAGACGGCTTGACGGAAACATGTGGACACCAGCATCTCCTCCACAACCCTGTGATCCCCATGCCCGCCCGTTTCCGTGAACGGGAAAGTGCTGCGCATGCTGCGAATTACACATCCGAGGCAATGAGGCAGAGCCGCAGCAGGGGGCGCCTTTCATGTGGTCATAGGCTTTGTATTTAAGCCTGCCATTTGGTTGTTGATGAACGTAGCTTGCTAAAGGCTTGCAATGAACCTGATGCACGTCTATATATTCCTGCTCCTGATCTGGGCGCTGTCGCTGCACGGATTTAGGTGCAGGCACTTTTTGAATTCCCTGTGCCTTGATGCCGGAAGCGGCATATTGCGCCCGCGATGTAGCCTTGTTCATTGAGGCCTTATCCACCCTTTGACCGTCCCTGTAATATTTTGGCTTGAGCGCTCCTTGATGCAGGGTGTCGTCAGACATAGAAAACGCGTCTTTCCTGAACGCTGGATGGTCTCCTTGCATCTCTTCTTGACCGGCACTGACGATCTGGTCCACCTTGTCCAATAAACCTGTCAATATGCTCGAAATGGCGTCACGCATCTGTCGCCGTTGCTTGTACTCTCGCCTGTTGTGAGTTTTCTTCTTAGCTCGTGCTTTCTCCACCACTCCTGCCGACGTCTGACCATCCGCATCCACAGGTGGTGCATTTTCCTGGCAGTCCACAGGCCCTGCGTCCGCCTTGCCTTCGGTACCAATCCGGTCTGCCAATTGCATCTCCTTTCCTTTTTCATCCTCAGTCACATCGCTCACCCGATTGGGGCACACTTTGATGCTAGGGACGGAAGATGTGGGGTCGGCATCAGTGGGAGCAGCATGGTCGACCATGAGATGGACAAAGGCAGGCGCCGGCTCTATAGAAGTGGGATCACTTATAGCTGGTTGATCTGAGGACAGATACAAGGGGCGCGGAGGGACGCAGGGTGGGGAGGTTGGTGTATGTGATGGCGAAAGAGCCGACGAACAGCCCTTTGTAGCCGGGCAATGGCTAGAATTCGATGGGTCTTCTGCTGCCACCAAAGATGCTGCGCCTGCAGCTTCCAGGATTGTTGCAGCATTTGTTGATATGGCCTGAGCCCCATCAGTCCGCAGAGGTGCCGACACGTCGGCGCTTTCACCATTCTCCTTTTTTACTTTGTGGATTTCTTCAACCAGATTGTCACCAGCAACGTTGCGGCAAGCCTCGATCGGTCCAGTACTGTCGCGTCCCCCAGCACGTCCTGTTCCGCACTCCGCATAACACGGCTGCAAAAGAGTATCCTTTACCTCTGTGTCTGAATGTTTGCTTGTCACTTGCTTGGAACTGTCGCCCGACTTCGAATTCATGTGCGCCGAGGCCGTTTTGCTGGTCAATGACGGAGGAAGCGATGGCTTTTTCATCACTGTGCCGCGTCGTCCTACCTCCTCCCATAGGTCATCCTGGTCCTCCCGGTCCTCTTTCACCACCGCCGTGACTAAGCCCGTCGTCTTCCTCGCACTATCGGTGGATCGACGTATTCTGAACGCCGAGGACCCGGAAAAAGGCCTCATCTCTTCGTCAACCACACCGTCTTCTCCTTTGATCCTTCGATTTGCAAAAAGTTGTTCTTCCATTTGATGCCCGTCTACATCCGGCGTTCCCTCTAGCCTCAGACCATTGCTCATTACGGCTCCAAGACCCCTATCAATCGTCGATTCACCAACTTTTGGCAGCGACGTTCTTGGCACGACCCCCTGTTTTTCAAGCCTCAGCTGCTCCTTCACTCTTTGCTGTTGTTGAGACTGCTTCTTTTTCTTTTTCTTCTTGGCTTGATTGCAGGATCCAGTATCAGTGGACATGTTACTTCTGGCCTCATCCTCCATCAAGAGCTCTTGAGCCACCAAGTCCGCACAGGCTGCCTGGATTCGCTCCAAAACGCGCCGGACAATTTTGCCCTCATCTTGATAGACCCAGTGAAGAGGAATCAACAGCAAACGCTCCATCATTAGTTGAGCTGTTCTCATACTTCCTGATCCATCCAAACTATGCTCGCCTCCCTCCCGACATCTCACTACTTTATCCCCCGTCATCTTCAAGGGCTGCTGCTGCAGTAGTACGTGCTGAGCCGGACGTAGCCCTTCAAAAAGGGCTGCCAGTTGAGCAGGATCAGCTTTGAGAGCAAATTCTTGCAGATGTTTTATCTGCTCCGTCACTCCCTTTAGTCCTACGGGTACCCTGGGCCCGGAGACGGAACACCGATTCATACGACGCCAGTAGGCAACCCAAAGAGAGAGCTCGAGTCGGCTCACCAGCAAGTATCGCAGTGGGATTGTCTCTTTATCCTCACCCATGCACTCTTGTAACCAGGGGGCCTCGGGCAAGACCATCGGAAGCGCAGTTGTGCCGGTATGCGAAGCAAGTGTAGGGCTTGAGGAGTTGAGGGTGTTGCCAGTCCCGCCGCTCAAGACGCTCGCGACTGCCGCCGCTGACAAACCAGGACCCCCACCACTAATCGCCGCCACAGCGGACGATTGTAAGCTAAGCTGCTTTGCTGTGGCCGTCGGAAGAGGCTTGGATAGGAAAGAACCATCCGTCACCGCCCGCAAGAGTTGGTAAAGGGCCTCGGCATCTTCGACAGCGGGTTGGCTGAGAGTCAGCGTGTCCAAAGGTGTTGCTCCCAAAGTGCAGACACGCAGACTCCTTTGCAGCAATCGATCCGCACACATTAGTGTGACCTGACTTCCCTGTTCTCTTTTCATATCATTGCCGTCAATGTCCGAGTTCGAGCGCTCGCCTTTCCTCCCAGCACGCTTCCTCACGTCCCCCTGCTGGCTCCATGGTATTCTATACCCCTCAATCAACGAGTGCTCTTCTTCCTCTGCTGCAAGAGCAAAATCCAGCTCATCATCGTCTTCTTCCATTCCTTTGTTCTCTTCAAGGTCATCCAGATCCCCCGCTGCACCCCAGGCTGCGAGAGCACGAGAGCCATTCCCAGCGCTCGCAGCAGCATGCTGCTGCTGTTGTTGCTTGAGGAGGCGGCCGTACATGTAGTTGATTTTGTCACGCTTTACCGTATAGCACGACGGAGGGTGCTGTTGCTGTTGCTTTGGTGGGGAATGTGTTCCTACTAAGGACGGACATGGTGCAGAAAGTGAGGATGGACCTCGTTGCTGCTCTTGTTGCTCGTGCTGCTGCTGTAAATGTCTTCCTGGCTTCTTATTGCGAGTTTTTAGCTCATGCTTGAAAAGCTTCAAGTACAACCGAATCCACAGCGGGTCATCGATAGTAAGAGCCTGCATCCGTTCATCGGGTCTGAGCTCACTGAACCACTCCCACAGAGACGAGAGCAACGTGGCCTGCTGCCATGTACTGTCGTGGGTCATGACTCCTGCTCCACAGTGACCCTACTTGCAAGCTATATGTACACAGAGGCTTTCGTCCGCCAACCTGAAATTTGCACAGGACGAAGATTCTTCTGTGCGTCAAAACTTGTGCATGAATACTCTCGCTTTTATGTCGATTTCGTTTCAGTTACCTACCTCCCTCAAAGTACGTCCAGAATCTGGCTGAAATGACAAATCCCAGCGCGAACTGGATCGTTTTCTGACAAATTCAACAAATTGTTGTTACTAAGATGTTAGCTCGGCCCTAGGTTTTTGCAGAGGTGCGGGATGAAATGATCAGGTCGTGTAAAGGGAGCCGGCGGCAGGCAGAAAGCAGGACGGCAATTTCAAAGGAGGGAGTAGCCCAAAAACAGGTAAAATCGTCCGTCGCGTCTCTACCCGTCACTCAAGCAACTCAAAAGAGTCACAAAGTCTACTGCGCGATAGACGGGCGCCCAAATGACCGGGACCGCGGTGATCTGGCAAGTCTCCAAAAGGAGGGGGCGGGCGAAGCCACTGCCTGAAGCCTCCCTCCCCATCACCCGCAGGCGACAGCGAGGACCCGCCGCGCCGCCCCGGCCCGGCCAGGTCCTATGCCTGCAGGGGCCAGGGTGTGTGATATGAAGCGTCCGAGGCGGACAAGGAGCCATACTGGACTTGCATTGTCTTGGCTTTGCACCGAGTCGCGTACTGCTCGGTGCTCACACCGCATGGCGAGCGGAGCGCTCCCCCGGCTTGCCCTTGTCTTGGCCTTATCATGCCATCCCTTCATGCCGAGGGACTCTTGCATATGGCCTAGACTTATATTTAAGCGACAAATCATAATATGATCTCTCTCACATTTATTTCTAACACTATGCTTCAATCGTGGGCCACAGTTTACATCCACGAGGTAGTAAATAGACAGGACAGCGCGATCATTCAGCAACTCTCCTGCTAAACCGCCCCTTTCCTCCTCCTCCTGCTCATTTACTGCGTTGTTTGGGTTTCCTCAAGAACAGGAAGACCATTGAAATCCTAGGGGTGGGTCATATACGATGCCCATCGAAAGCGCTGCAGAACTTCAGGCATCATCATCACTTTTTGGGAAAGAATGCGTGGACGCGAACCTTGCTTTCTACGAGCAAAAGAAGAAAAATCCCGACCCACAAGCCTGTGAGGCGGCCGGCAAGGATGTGCTAGTTTGCTGGGAGACTTTGTAAGTTTCAAATGTCGGGAATTGATTAGGGTTGTAGCTTTTTCCTCCATCTACCGTCTCTGCGGGCGTTTCATGTATGTTTTCAACTACTTCTCTTTATTTACGCAGGAGAGCAAAAATTAAAGCAAAGTCTGAGGCATCTTTTCAAGCCTATGCGGAGTGCCTGGAAATGACGGGCAACAATCTCAAGAAATGTGCCAATTTGCACGAGGACCTCTTGAAGTCTTTTTACGAATCCAAGGAGTAAATGTCTTTTTGACAGATTGGTAGGTCTGTGAGTGGGAAGGAAGCCGGTGCGGTGGTACGGATAGAGTAGGCTAGAGTGAGGTCCCCTCTTCTCGGCGACTATCCTGACGGTGCTGTTACAAGATAATTTACCGGGGGAGGAAGATTATATAATTAAGATTCTACAGAAATAATCATAAAAGAGGAGTTTCGAGTCGAGAAGTATTTATTTTGGACGAGACGATTTAGACATATGCAGCGTGAAGACTGGGACCAAAACGCGTGGGCAATAATATGGGTTCATGGGTTTTATTCGTTGCCACATGCATACCGTCAGTGGTCCTAGTATCCAATTGAAAACTGTCCGTCGCAACCCTTTCTCGATCTAGGCCTCAAGAGTTATATAGAGTGAGAAATCTCTAATTTTTGCGTTGAGCGGCAGTCTTCGTAGCAAGAAAGAAAAATAACCAGCCTCCGTAGAGACGGTGGGATAATCTTTCTTCTTCTACCCTTGCCCCAACCCAATATTGCTCCGGTGTACCCGGGTGTGGTGGCCTCCCCCCCCGGCCGTGAAGAGAGCCCAAGCACTTGACTGCATTGCTAGAATAAAGCCACAGATAAAATGTCCTCACAAGCTTTCCTCCGACCATTGTTATTTAGTGGACCAGCTCATTTGTTGTGTCTTTGTCAAGTGAAAATCACCACGAAATGAAATGCATGAGCGTCTGGCTTGAAGAGGTCGGGGGGTGGATCGAGTGAACACGCTGCGCCCTGCGGGCTCCTCGAAGCCTCCTCACCTCTTGCAGATCGCCGCGTATGACCGCCAAACTTGGGCCTCTATGTCCAACTCACAACATACTTTTGGTTACATTTGAGTGTGCGCTTGCTCGCTACGAAAGTTTTCCCCATGAATTTGACATATTTTCAATCCGGCGGAGATAGCCTTTGTCAGCCTTAAGTCCGAATTTTCTCGAACCACACTAGAAGTATCCTCACATTCTCCTTTTCGAATCACATGCATCAGCGGATCGTACAGGTGGGAAAGGAACGCCTGAAATCTGTACGAAATAATGACGTCCACAGCAAGTTTGGCGTGCGGTGCTTATACCGCAGCCGTGTTAGTTTGTTTAACAACAGGAGATGGCGTCGCAACCCGGCACATAGACGCGAACGTGGGAAATCGGCGGACATCAGCTTTTTTGCCTGTTATGCCTCCTATGGGAACTCCAGTCACTGGAAGAATACGGTCACATCCGCTTGAGGCCCACAAAATGTACTACGTATGTCAAGGCGGGACCCGGCTGTCTCAAAGGCGACACGAGCGTCTTGGGACCAGGACAGCAGTCATGGTGGTGAAGACGGACGTGGAACTTTCTGACAAGCGTGATGTCGATCCAGAAGTGGGCAGCAGTTCAAAGAGTACTAATCATACAGGGGTGTCTCGGTTTGGGTCCGCCATGCCTAAATCCGCGGAAGGCACAGGACCACCCCCAGCCCCGCAGGATAACTTCAAGCACAAGAGCCTAGCCGGCGTTCCTACGGACTACGGGCCATACTTGACAATCAAAGGTTTCAAGATAAACGCTTTTGGGTTCTTCTTCTGTTTCATGGCAATCCTTTGGGCTATTCCGTGGGCGGTCTTCCTTGTCGTGTACAAGGCGCTCTTGGAATTCGTGGACAAGCTCGACCCTTGTCGGTACAACGTGGACCGCAGCAGTTCCTTGTGGGGTTGGCTTACCAGCCTCAGCACAGATTCTCTGCCCGAAATGACAGGTTTGGAGAACATACCCGATGGACCAGCGGTACGTGTTGAGTGAAGAAGTATTTTAATGCGTGCGTGCAAGTCGGAAGCGAAGTGACTTAAGAATGAAAGGTGGGAAGACCGAGCATTTGCTGACCTGTTTCACAGCTCTTATCCTCCTGTCTTCTACTTTGAAACGCCCAATTATCTCGTATCTCAACACCGCAGGTATTTGTTGCGAATCATGCGTCTTGGATGGACGTCCCCTACTCGGCACAGCTTCCTATGCGAGCAAAATATCTGGCAAAAGCTGACTTGACGAAGGTCCCAATCCTAGGCAACGCCATGAGCATGGCGCAGCACGTACTTGTTGATCGAGATGACAAACGCAGTCAAATGGAGGCATTGCGATCGGCGCTCCTAATCCTCAAGACTGGCACACCGCTTTTCGTGTTTCCCGAAGGCACTCGCGGCCCAGGAGGGAAAATGCAGGCCTTCAAGATGGGGGCCTTTAAAGTTGCAACCAAAGCTGGTGTACCTATCGTTCCTGTATCAATCGCAGGTACGCATATCATGATGCCAAAAGAGGTTATCATGCCTCAATGTGCCGGTCGTGGGATCACGGCAATCCACGTCCATCCAGCCATACCATCGACGGACCGGACAGATCAGGAGCTTTCAGATTTAGCCTTTAAAATCATAAACGACGCGTTGCCCAATGAGCAGCAATGTGCGTCCACCAGTAAGGAGACTGGAGGTGCTTGATTGAGCACAAATAGTCAAAATTAAATGTAATCATAAGGGAAGGATGTGATGAGGAAGAAGATGGTAATGCTGGTGCCAAGCAGCCAGGTCACGTTCAAAAGCGGGAAAAGAAAATTAATTGACGAGTTTAAGAATTAAATCCGCAGTAAGTCAGCTCAAAAATGCTCTGCCGTCCGGGAAAAGGTGGATATTCGTATTTTTATTTTACACTGAACGCCGTATAAGAATGTTTCATTTTGG